ATGACTTTTTACATATGCCATGTGACCTGTAAATGCGAAAAAGCCGTTTCCATTTCAGTTTTGCGAATTATTCCTTTTTCGCATTGCTTGAAAAACCACCTCATGCGAGCGCAAAAACTTTTTTGCGATATATGCGAGTTTTTGCGAAGTTGACGCGTTTCCATTAGGTGTATTTTCAATTCGCAATTTCAATTTGCGCAATTTGAAGGGTAATGGAAACGCGCCTAGTGAAGGAATTTCTTTTGCGGTGCACGGTAAAAATGGTCAAAATTTTAATGGTGCAAGACAGTAAAAATGCTATGGTACAAAACTGTTAATTGGTTAATGATAAGTTCTCTTACTATATACAATGAAAACTGTAATGAATCTAACAGGATTTTACTCTAAAATTGACAGATTTTAGAAGTTAAACAGAGCAAGTCATCTTATAATTTACAGTGAAAATCGTGAATTGACATTCCCATAATTCCCTGTATGGCACGTCACATTTGATGGTTTTGCATTTAAAAACAATGTTTCTTTTTTCTTTTTTTAAATGACATCTTATGGTATTGACTTAAGAGTTAGCTGCATTATTTTATGTATGTTACCATGATGGTGTTTAGTATTTGTGTGGTCTTATATTTTTTTAGCATTTACTTCAGCTCTTGGAAAAGCTACTTTTGGTGAGCTGCGATTCATCATGTTGCTTTCTCATTACCACCTCTGTTTTTGGGTGGTTGTCGGTATATTATAAAGGTACAAAATCAGATTTTAGTTCTTCAGGAGGTTGGTATATTAAAGGGTTAGTTCACCCAAAAATTACAATTGGCCCACGTTTTACTCGAGCTCAATGTATCCTAGGTGTATATGACTTTCTTTTTTTCAGACGAATCCAATCAGAGTTATATTAAAAATTGTCCTTGCCCTTCCAAGCTTTATAATGGCAGTGGGTGGGTGTTTTTTTTTTTTTTCAAATAGAAGTCAAATAAAGCACATCCATCCATAATAAAACATGCCTCACACGGCTCCGGGGGTGAATAAAGGCCTCCTGGAGCAAATCGATGCATTTTTGTAAGAAAAATATCCATATTTATAACGTTCTAAATATGGATTTAGAACGAGTTTTTCTCTCACTTCTGCTAACTGTTGTATGCCGAAGCCTTTCCGGGCGGATGACATAGTACATAGGTGTAGTGCATGTGGCGGTGATTAGTGACGAATGCGGAAGCACAGAGGAGAGAAAACAAAACAAAATGCCGTTCACGAATCAGAATCACAAAACGAGGATTTGTAAAGAAAAATGTCAGAGGATTTCGATTTAAGCCAAGAGGAGACTGGTTTTCCTTTGGTAAAGTAAGGAAACTTTGCTTCCTTTGCTCCTGTAAACAAACTCGCGAGACTAGCATATCTCACAGGAGTGTGCGATACGCATACATCATCCGCCTGGAACGGCTTGTGTGACAGTTAGCGGAAGTTAGAGAAGTGTTTATAACGTTTTAAATATTTTTATAAAAATGTTTTATATAAACGGATTCGCAACAGGAGGCCTTAACTCACTCAACCCAGCCCCCCCATTATAAAGCTTGGAAAAGCAAGGACAATTTTTAATATAACTCCGATTGGATTCGTCTGAAAGAAAGTCATATACACCTAGGATGCCTTGAGGGTGAACTAAACCTTTAACATTATACCAGTTAATGAAATACAGGTTTTTACTGTACATTTATTTCATCTAGGTAACAGGTACGGTAACGTTGCATATTTTTTGTAAAGTTCTGGCAACCACATCTGCCACAGCCCTGAGCTCCACTTCACAAGCCTCAATCGATGAGCTATGCATTACCAGGGTAACGCTGAAGCTGATGTTTCACCCATAGAGATCAATGACATTGATTCAATGCTAGAGTTGGTTATAGAGTTCGATACTTTTTAGGCACCGACCGAATTGCCTCGCTACTAAATCAAGTATCAAAAAATGGCTTGTTGTTCAGTACCAAATTTCTAACAGGAGGCCTTAACTCACTCAACCCAGCCCCCCCATTATAAAGCTTGGAAAAGCAAGGACAATTTTTAATATAACTCCGATTGGATTCGTCTGAAAGAAAGTCATATACACCTAGGATGCCTTGAGGGTGAACTAAACCTTTAACATTATACCAGTTAATGAAATACAGGTTTTTACTGTACATTTATTTCATCTAGGTAACAGGTACGGTAACGTTGCATATTTTTTGTAAAGTTCTGGCAACCACATCTGCCACAGCCCTGAGCTCCAGTTCACAAGCCTCAATCGATGAGCTATGCATTACCAGGGTAACGCTGAAGCTGATGTTTCACCCATAGAGATCAATGACATTGATTCAATGCTAGAGTTGGGTATAGAGTTCGATACTTTTTAGGCACCGACCGAATTGCCTCGCTACTATCAAGTATCAAAAAATGGCTTGTTGTTCAGTACCAAATTTCTATACCTAAGGGGTTAATCTCATCAATGTCAGTGAGCCAATAAGCATGCAGCATGTTTGATGTACCTAAATCAAGTACTGGTAATTGGCTCTGGTGAGGCATCACGGAAAAACACAAGTTTACGTCAGTCATGCCCAGAGACATGACTCACACGTGAGGCTGTAGTGTGTAAGCATCCCAAACCCAATAGATATAAGGCCACATTTACACTAGTGCATTTTCATTTTAAAACGATGTGAATCGGCACCCGGATGCGCTGCGCCTTGTTTACAAGCAAGAGGAATGCACACGCATGCATCGTGGTACTGTCATAAACGCGCGTCGAAGACTGACACGGAAGGAAAGAATTTGTTGAATAAAGTTATTTTTGTTTTCTTTGCGCACAAAAAGAATTCTCGTAGCTTGATAAAATTACGGTTGAAC